AAGAGTATGACAGTTAATGGGAATGGCTCCCAGGACCTCACCAAACACCCACCACGCCCCTATGAAAACGACCCACGCCCCTATGCAGAGTCCCTATACCTGGGCTCCATAATGCTTCTGCGAACATGAAGCGGAGGTCGAAGCGTCCAATGCGGCGGTGAAAGCAAAAACCCTTTCGACTCCACTTGTCCTTGCGGATTGAACAATTGCCGAGGACGGCTGTCTGTGTCCTCCCACACAGTTCTGGTTTTTTCATGCTGTTTCTAGAGGCTTGGTGTGCATGTGCCTCTATAAGGAAGCTTCATTTCTATCCTTCTTCCTATCTGTCAGGTCCTCTTGAAAAAACCGTCTCTGTCGTTCGGCCTTGAAACCGCTCAGCAGCGGGAAAAGCAAGTTGATGTCCACCTAGACGATCGCCCATGAGAAGGAGAAACAAAAAAACCCCCGGTAGACCGAAACGTGAAGATTCAATGGAACAGGTGTTCCATCTATTTGGGGGGACCTCTATATTAGACTCTATATATGTTTACAACAAGATATCAGTCAAGAAGATGGCAGTAGCTCATATGCCTCAGCCAACCGGACAAGTTGAACCAATTGAAAACATGTGGGGCATTGTTTTGTCAACAACGCATTAAAAGAAAAGGAAAACTATATAAAGATCCATGTAGGCAAGCAAATATGGCCTACATTGGGAAGTTGTTTGGTGGTGAATGTAGGTCATATTTACTTACGTGGATCGTTTGAATGGAGTTAAGCTATGTTAAGCTCATATGGCAAAAAAGGGCCGCATGTTGCTTCCTTCACATCCAGCAGTAACGAGCTCTTGCACCTCGTGGGTTCACCTCCGACAAAAATCCTTGTGGGAGTCTGGGCTGTTCAAAACATCATGGGTGCAAAATCAGATACCCAAAAGAACACAAAAGAAAACAAAGAAAACACTATATGAATATGTAGACTCTTGATTAACAGACCACCCATATGAAGCATGTTTGTCAATTCAATTGGTGGGGTTATTAATCAAGAGTTTACAATATATCCTACAGCTCCCAACTAATTACGTCATCCAGTGGTGAGTGCCAGTGCGGGATCTGTCCTAATACCTTCTTCTTCAGATGTGCCACGAACCCATGGACCATTCTCCTGTAAATATACCCGACTCAATGGGTGTTTCAACTGCGAAGGCCATTGCTTTTCGGTCTACCCTTTTCACCGTCTCGCCCTGTTTTCACTCTGTCGCACCTCCTCAAAGATGGGGATGGCCAATTCCAATCCTCAGCCCATGTGACATGGCTCCATCTCGATCATCGGCAAAGGAAGAAGTTCATGTGGTGCTCACCCCTTTGTCCAAAAAAAACACAAAACAACATCATATTGGAAACGACTAAACTTGGCTCGGACTGTCAGACTTTTGCCCGAACACTGCGAACCTAAAAACTTACCGCTGATGTATGTTTTGCCCAAACAGCTCAGAACAAGGTTTTTGAACCATGGCAGGTGTGGGGTATGTACCTTGGACCAGTTGACATAGTCGACTTGCATGCCACTTACTCTGAAAAAAACAACAACACATGGTCCTGCAAAACCCTGAGGATACGTTGGATACGGTATCAAATCAAGAATGATCAAGATGACACGTGTTATATCTGCAAATCAGAACTGTGAACCTCATTTCGACCTTCCCTCCTGGCTAGTTCGTTTTGATGTGTTTTGATGGAGATAGTGGGTATAGTCTGTCTGTTGGTACAACGATTGAGAGCTGGAAAAAACGATAAACGAAGCTCTCTTCCTTCTGCAAAAAGAAACTCAATCACACGCCTGTCCACTTACTCCCTTGCCGATGCTTTTCTCCGCCCCCGAAATCACGTTTCGCACGCTGCATCCATGCCACGATGAGAGGCGGTGACTGCGACCTCAGCTTCCATCGGCCATGCGATGGGTGTAAGGTCGCTTTCATATGCAGCAAGGTTACAAGGCCAAGGCTTCCTTTGTCACATGGTTTTGTAAACCTAGAACCACCTTCGGAACGTCGTTCTAGCTTCGGGCGGAAATGTCTTTGGGATTGTCTGTGTCCAACCTACTCTGGTCATCTCTGGTTGATGTAGAAACCAACAAACAACAACGGCAAAAAAAAAAAACAACCAAACAAAGAAACAAACGACACCAAACAAAATAGTAGTATAACCCGTTTTAAGAAAGGACCACTAATTGATGCTAATTGTAGTGATTTTTCCTTGCCAACACACTCCAAACAGTTTCTTCTGGAGAGTACGTAGTTTGGGCTAGAAAGAAACACCCTTTCGTCAACAAACGCCCTGTGTGGCGTTCGCGCTTTTCCCGGCAAGTCCTGCTAGGTCCTGCACAGCTTGGCTTCGAAGACGACTGTCCAGCTCTCATGATTGTCTGGACAACAACACAAAGATTCCATGGCAGCTCGCCACAAAAAAAAAAAAAATCAAAACTCCTGGATCCTGCGAGAAGCCAAAAAACCAAGTTACACACGAATATCATTAGTTTAAGCTGGGGTGGTCCCTCTTTTTCCTCCAACTCAGTTCCACCGAAACGCCCCAACACCCCAAGACAGTCACCCTCTAACAGTACGCTACCCGCGACAGTTCCTATACGCTGCCCTCCCCAGACGCAAACGATCCCGACGATGTCTTCCGCGCGACGCGTCGTTCGGACCAAGAAACACCGCAGAAGTGACCCTCCAGGCGGACTTGGCCCTTGGGTACCTGGACGATGAAATGAAAAAAAAACAAAAGAAGAACGTTGGGAGAAAAGAAGAGTGGACTTGGGATGATTGGTTGGGATTAAGACAGCCGGGAGGGCCGGGTTGGGGTTGGGGGGTGAGGAGTCACTTTCAACACTTTGGATGATATATGGAGGTTAAACCACCAAAGGATGCCCTCATAGACTCTCTAAGCCACTAAGCCACTAACCTAACCACTAGGACACCAACCGAGAAGTTCTGCAACCACCTGGCTCTCTTTCACCACGCCCCTTCCTGCCAGCTCCGTCACGGCCCCGCGCCCCGTCGGCCGTCGCGTCGGCCTCGGCAAAGGGCGCTTCCGCTTCCTCGGCTTCGCGTTCCCCGTGCCCCATGGCCTGACGGTGGGCGGAACCTGCTGGGCGCCTCGTGGGGAACCTTCAAGCTCCCCCCCCCCCACGTGGCGTGCGCGGGTGGGTATAACGGTTTTAGTTGATGGCGAAGTCGGATGGTTCGGATGGGTAGCTCCTTCCATCCCGGTGATTAGGTGCAGAAAATTCTGGGGATGAACCCTAAAACGCTATAAGAATGCTGGTTCTTTTTTCGTGCACAATCCTGTGTTTTGTCTTGGGAGATGTGAAGGACAAATTCAAGGTATATCCAACCACCATGAGTTTAATAGGCTTTACCGAGCCACGATTGACTTTACTCAGGATTTTACACTACAAGTAGGTCAACCATTTGTTTAATGGTCTATGTCTATGACTGAAAGTTCGTCCGCGTTGAGCTGTCACTATCTGTAGTCATGTATTGTGGCACTACGTGGCATTTCTTGCCCCCTGCATGCAGTGACAAAAGAATCAGCAGCCACTGGTGCACCTTCCTTTGGTTTCCGGGTCCAAATCAAAACCATCCCTGGACCTCACCCACCTCCTTCGATGATTCGCGTGGCCCAGAGTTCTACAAACAAGTCACTTCGCAAACTAAACGCGTGCAACAAAAAACAAAGTGCTGGCCTCCGCTGGAGCAGCCAGCGGTTTCAGAGGGCTGTCTGAGACACTAAATAGTCTAAGTGCTTGCCAAACACTGGTACTAGTACCCCAGGAATCCACTTTCTTGTGCATGCATAGATTTGATCAACATGAGTCAACATGGCTCCCAAAAAACACATCTTGGGTGGCTCTTTGGGGTCTCTAAGCTCAAAGCCTTTACATGGAAAGGAAAAAAGGTCTTCACAAGCTCCGGAATATGTCAGAGCTTCACAAAAGGAGCAGTGGAGGGGGAAAGAAGTCGGAGGAAAGGAGACGGTAAAAAATCCACCAAGACTTCGTAAAGCAAAGATCCACCATACATGGCATGAAACAAACATATATGACGTGAAGATCAGAATTTGTTGGGTCGGGATTTTGAGCCTAGCTGTTCAGCTCTATATGTGGATCCACTTGGCTCCACTGCTTGGCGTTCAAGAAACAAGTGCAGTCTATACAAACGGGTGCAGGTCCGATGAATCTGGGTCCAAGTGCCAGGTATTGGCGGTTCTAGGCTGCTTCTTTTTGCAGGTGAATCATGTACACCTAGGGTCATGGACATGGCGATAACCTGAGGTGGTCTTGAGCCACGCGAACTCGTGGGTCGCGGCAAAGTGTTTAGAACGAATTCGTGCTGTGTAGTGGGCCGTGCAAGACAACGCTGACCAGGCTCTCGACTTCCAACGAGTTACCTTCGAATGAAAGCCATGGCGTGAGTGAGATCATGGTTGGAGTGAGTGTGGTTGATAGTGTGCGTTGAGAGTACAGGGTACACTCTGGGGAGAAGGTGGACCCCGATCTAAAAAGCATCTATCTATACAGTCTGAAACAAATTTGTTTTTCCATACTCCCACGGGACTTGGTCGATCAAGCTTTGACCCCATCAGAGATGGGCAGGATGGTAGCCAAGCTGCCACAGAAACAAAGTCTTGCACAGGACGACTAAACAGAATGAAACTTGTTACACTGGTATAGAGACTTGTTACACTTGTTCACAGGACTATAGTGACTAGTCTTGCTTGTCCTGAGACTTTTCATCATGTATTCTCATGTTACATCCATAGAGTCCGCACCAATAGACGAAGCACCTTTGGCTTTTGTGTTCCATCATCACCACCCAAATAGGGAAACTCTATTTTCACGAGTATTGAACACAAGAACCAATTAGGCTTTTTCAAGCACCACCCCTTCTTACTTCAGGCAGTCCACTGGTCCACTCCACTTCACCGTGACGCGTTCGAACCGACCGGTCCGGTCCACTCCTGGGCAGTTTGGAAAGCTCCCGAGCAGAGTGTAGACCCAACGACTTGCACGCGTAGAAGAACTCCTGCCGCCCAACGGTCCGCGACGCCGGGCCCCCCGGACCGAACGGGGAGCGAGAACGGGCCGTAGACTTGAAGGGCCAAATGAACAACAACGAAGAAAAAACTGGCTGAGAATGCATCGAACAACTAGAGGTTCTAATGAGCGAAATGGAGGTTCCCCTCCCACACAAACTGGTGCAGTTCAAGGTCGAGATCTCAAATGTGGAAGAAAAGAGTGCAACAATACACATCTCAGAGATTGCTCCCCAGGAACAAGCAAGAACAGATGCAAGAGCCATGACCTCATGGTGGTCATTTCATCTCAGTACCACCTCCCAGAGAGACCAATACCACGTCAATATAGGTCAGCTCCAAGTATATACCTCCGAAACAAAGGTATGACTGGAGTCTCCCACTCCATCCACCCCACCCCACCGAAACGACGCCCGTCGGTGCTTTTGCCCTGCGACGTCGCGACGCCCGTCGACCGGACGGGCGGATCGGAGACTTCGACCGATCTTTCACCACCATGAAGCCGGTGCGGGACTGAATGCAAATCCAAAACAGGTCAGATCTATCTCTATAATGATTAACTTGAATATCAAGATAATATACTATAGTAATCATTAACCTGTTAGCCTCATTAGATCTATACTATGAGAATATCTCTATAATTAGCCTGATTCTGCTCTTGCAGGCAGCTAGGCAGCTAGTTGGCCACTTGCTACTCCTTGTGACCAGAAACTCACGAACTTTAAAATAAACACACATTGTGGCATTGGATGAACTTTTGGTACTTGTCCAATTGGTCAGGGGTCAAACTACCTTCCACCACTAGCAGAATCAACAAAATAATTCTTTTCGTGACGATTGGAACTCCAAACCAAGTTGAACCAAGAACAAGCATCAGGCATGTCAGTGTATATATAAAAATATACATATGCCTTCACCTAGAAATTGAGTGCATTTAACCAAAACACAAACGACCTGTGACGACCCCACTTGTGAGGCTTGACACATCACTCCCTGCAGAGACTGGCCCTTTAAGGCTCCTCTGCACTGGACACCTGCTGTGGATCCTGCAAATCAAAGACCTACGGCGCCCGACACACAGGAAGGTCGTTCGCCGTGCTCGACCGTTTTTCTTTGGCAGAATGCTTAAGATCCAACATCGATTAAAGCTCAAACGCTCCATATGAAGCAATGTTGGCCTACATTCACCACCCAAAACCACCAGTTGCATACAAAAAGCTTAAAGGAGCTCTTGGGGCCAGTCGAACACTTTTTCAATCTCACCAGTTTCTTAAAGGTTCCTTCACTTTCCTGAAAGAGTACAAAGCCTCCACCGGGCGGGGAAACGCACGAAGACACACCCCACTTGTAAGACGGTATAGTTGATCAAGATGTTTCTGGGGCTGATATTGCAGTGCACACGACCGAAACCCACACTGAACTGGCTCCTTCTGAAGATACAGTATGATTCTTGAACTCATACCGATGGTTAGGGACCAACACGAGGTTGAGGTTGAGGAATGTTGATGATCTCTAGCGGTTGGTGAGGCTTGGAACAACTCTAATTCATATCAACTCTCACTATTGCTGCAAGTCTGGGGTACACCTACTTGACATCTAGTTTGGTCGCAAACCCCGCCTCCAAATGCACTGACTGAAGCCGTTGTGCTATCGCAGTGCCAGCTCCCCTGGCGACGCGCGTCTCTTTGGTGAAACCTTTTGGAGGTCTTTGATGCCTGCCCATCTGCCGAACATTTGGACAAGCCACACCCACCAGGAGCTTCTTCTGTGGGGTGTACTGACCAGTACTGACTGGGTCGCTCACAAGCGGTGTTTTCCAGAATGTTTCTGAAGCACTTCGAACAGGAAAGCCTTTGCACTCACGGTCTAAGCCATCTTTTCTTGCCGCCCGGTCCACTCGACTCCAGCCCGTTATGGCGCTGTTTTTTTTGGGGGACCGAGTCCAGCAACGGCAGCGAAGAAGCAGCAAAGAAGCAGCGTCGACTTGTCCTCGAAAAGGCATGTCTCGGCCCTCGGCTAGGAAAGAAGAGGTTTGTGTACACTCTGAACTAACTAACATGGAAGGCATAGGCCCCGGGAAAAAAAAAACAAACATGTGTGCTCTATACAATCAGGGGGGGAGGTTTCCATGTCCATGTTAGTGAGTGGGTGTTTTCCACAACAGGATGAGGGACCATCAAGGACCATCTTAATTATATTACTGTATCTGGGTCAGCTGGCTCGACTACCCTACACTGCTTGAACTTAGGGATCTTCAGACACTTAGGGTGTAAACTTGGTTGGTGTAAGCTTATCAAACATCTGATCCTGGTGTAGATGAATGCCATGTCTTCCCATTTGCCGTTCTTCCTTGCTCTGTTGGTTCTTTTCCGAGTTTCCTTCTCTTGGACCTTTCCTTTAACATCTTTAACCAGGCGCTTCAACAACTCGGACGTCACTATGCCTTACTTCACTTTTTGCGCCTGATTTTCGACCTATTTTGGCTTCTCACCCATGTATATCCAGCATGGTTCGGACATTGACTCAGGCGAGGCTCCGCTTCTCCACCCGGTGGCCACGACGGGATGACCGGTCAAACGCTGTGTTTTCGATGCCATGGTCGGCTGAGTCTGAGTCTGCCTGGAGCCTGGGTGACCTCCATTTTGGAGGATCAACTACCAAAAATACAATCTTTTCCGGTCAAAACAGGTGGCCATTACAAAAGCACCAGCTACGAGTTTTTCGTGATCCCCTTAAATAGAAAGTGGCACGGTGTCCAAGAACTTATGGAATTTTTATCTCAGGGTTTATTTTTCGGAGGCACCACCAATGCCACCACGCGATACCGGCCGACTGCTTGGACCGATCCACAGCGTCTCCGAGCATGTTTTTTCAGTGCCTGGTGGAGTGAAGGGAGGAAACGATGACACTCGGAATTGCACTGGTCACATAGAACCTCGACCACTTGTCACATAGAAAACACTGGGGTCAGAACGTCCAACACCAACGCCCTCGCATGCTCTCGCAGTTCTGTACGTAGAAGTTCTGCTTCGTCGTTTCCAAACACCACATCGACCGACGAGTTCCCTGTTTAGCGGCATTTCACTCGGCCGGAGCGGAGGTGTTTTCAAACACCGGTTTTGAGGAGCGTGGAGGGGAACTCCGCGAATTCATGCTTTTTTTTATTCCCACCGGAGCGTGCTTTGAGTCTTTTGATATGAGTTTGTTTAAACGATTTTATTATAAAAGTGTCTTGGTCATTTTCCCTGTCGTGGTCTGGATCTTCGAAAGCCCAGTTGCTCTGTCCAGTGGATCTTTCTACCGGCCAGGTTGGGGATGATGGCATACACCTGAAAAAAATGCAGGACAACACATTGAACATGCATCGATCGATCTATAGTGATTTCTTGGACTCCGACAGTCGGACGCCTGGGAGTGTTCTTTTTGCCCCAAAGAGGTAACGGTTCCGGCCAGCTGCCCCAGAACCGCAAAGCACCGCACCGTGAGTCGTTCGTCTTCGACCCAGTCACTCGGACCGGGCACACATCGGTTCCGCAAATCGGTTGGGGGGAAGGAGCCAAGCTGCGTTGGACTTGGGAAGGTGCCAAGCTGTATTCCCCGTTGGACTTGGTGTTGGCCACCGGGTGGAGCTTCAGAGCTCTCTTGGAGGCGAAGGCGAGAGCGAGTTTCTATGGGCGAGAGGGTGCAGTCGGGCCATGCGAGATCGCGACAAAATCATTGACGTTTCAAAGCTGTTTCACTCCTCTTTCTTTGGTACCTAGTCCTGTAGACCTTCCTGTTGCTTCATGAACTTCATGGTTTAAATTCGTTCGGTGCTGGTTTTGGCGATCGATCTTCGCGAAAGGTCACCATGAGGAGCGTCCAATGATTTTCCCGTGGCCAGGCCACCCCCCGCTGGACTGCCTTAGCCCTCGATGAACCTGCTGGACTGACTCCACATGCATTCACCAAGGCACTTTGTCTTCGGGCACAGCTGCTAAGACCATGTCCTTAAGTTTCAAACTCACACTTTCAAGCCTAAAGATTCCCAAAAAGGTATGTATGAGAAAGACTCTCCACACTGAAGAACATGGGTCACGTTTGACGCTCAAGTGCACCTTCTTGACGAACTCTGATGAATGCTATCACTGTATCCACACAAGCGATGACTGTCCTCCAAGTTTAGAATCCTGCAAACCATCGCATCTGCCAAGGGCGGTTGGGGATCACGTAAATGAAAGCCGGCATCAACCTGCAGAACGTGTGACTGTAAACATTTCCTGTCTTAGAGTCGTGTAGTTATTTCTTGATTGTTTTCTTTGCATTTGAACTTGTTTTTAACATGCGCAGCGCTGACAAATGTTTGTCTTCAAGAAAACAAGAAATATAAAGAACAATAACATGAGAAAAACAAGGAGTGGATGTGGGGGTTCGCGCCAGTTGCCCCGGAGCATCTGGCTGGCTTCGTTACTTATGACCATATAATATCATATATACAGAGCTGGGGTTATAGGTTTTGAGGTGGACCTTATCGTTTTGCGCACAAACCTACCCCTCTTTACTAAAGTGGTCTTCGCATGATTTGACCGTAGCTCACATGGATGGTGATGGTGATGACAAACACATTATTTGCCTCATGTGTTCATTGCAGGCCTGCTAAATGCTTATCAGCTGTCAGGTTGAGCCCACAAGGGCATCAGCTACATTGACTGAGTGTGAAGTAGTCTGCATCTGACTGCATATTCAATCACCATCCGCAATGACAAATGTGACTTACATTTTTCCTGGTATATAAGGAGTATCGAACATGACGTCCGAATGCAACCTCACTATTGTATATAAGCTTATAAGCATAAGCGTGTATGCATGAGATGAAACACGTAGGCTTACATGTTTTCAGCTTCCTTCTTCCCGGCGATCATATATTCTCTTTCATCCACGATGTCATTTAAAAGCCAATAAAGAAATATATGTTAAATTATTAAGTTGTGGTATTATTAAATCTCTTCTCTAATTTGTATCTACAGCCTTTAAGACATCAGTATATTTGTTAAGATCATGATCATCCTATTTATATTCTTATGTGTCTTTCTAGTGTCTGTCATTCCTAAATCTATGACTATATTGTTTGTTAGTTCACAAATCTGTTAACTTTACTTTGTACCAGCGACAACACCATTTATGTGTATGCTAGTCATTTATTACTTTAAACATTTGTTTATCAAATCAATCTGGTGGTCCTTTTTTCTGGGATTAGAAACCTTCAATGATTAGTAAAACATAAATTACTTCATGAAGATAAACAGTGACAAGGAAGAACCCACATAATATTTGAATTATATTATCAAACAAAAACATAGGATCTAATTTCAGGAATTAGTTAATTTATATATAGCTCTTATTTTATCTAGTGAATCTAGTGCATCTGTAATCTCAAAATCACTGTTTTCAGGTTTAGGGTGAACCAGTTCCCTTCACGTCCGTCGGTGTCCGATGTCGTGCCATATGGTGCAGTGTGCGAGAGAAAAGGATCAAACCGAACAATTCGGTGGGTGAGTAGAACCATTGTAGACGTAGACCCCAGTCCTTCACTGAACGAAATCACATCACTCCACGCCTCCACGCCTCAAATTCACTTCGTCTTCACTGCCTCCGACCGGTCTTCTGCACGCGATCGGAGCGTTCGCCCATCAATGCACGCAGCGCTGGATCGACCATCAACCTGAGAGAGAGAGGAGATTTTGGTTGAAGACGACAGACGACTGCGCCACCCTTTGTGGACTGCCGGTGGTTTTGGAGATCGGGCTCCTGTTTCGTACCGGCGCCACAGGACAGTTGGGCGCCCCCTACCATCCCCTAGGTTGCCGAAACGGGAGGATCCCAGGAGGTCCAACTGAAAAGGAAATTCAGAGATCGCCAGCAGGTCTTTTGGACGATGCCATCAGAAATGCCGATGCCATCAGAATTGCAGAAGGCAGAGTTGTTCACGGGCACCAACAAAAAATACCTTCTGGGCACCAACGAATGTCACATTCATTCTGAGTATTTTTGTTGCCATCCTCTCCATCATGTCTCATTTTGGAGTGCAAGTACCATGACTGAGGGAAGGAAGCGCCCAAAAACACTGGCTTCCCCACAAACTATAGCATGATTAGCCTGTGCTCCTCTCCTGTTTCGCTTCAGATCATGAAAGCACCACTCATCTATATAAATCAGTGCTCTAAGGTCACACCGTCCTTTTGAACTGCATACTGTGAAGACTTCCCGCCCGTGTTAAAGTTTAAGGGAACGCCATGCGGCGAAGACGTCGACGAGGACGACGGACCCTCCGATGGTGTTCGAACGAATCGGTGGTCGTGGAATTCACGGGTGGTCGTTTTATGCAGGATGATTCGGTGGAGAGACATCCTTTGGGCAATCTGTTCTATCCCAAAAGAATACTGTTTCTCTTCAACCAGTCATTCGATGGAAGAGGATCTGTTCTTGAATTGAACTTGGGAACAAGAGAGCCTACCATTGACTGGAAACATCTTGGGCCCAATGTGCGACCTAGAAATCATGGGTGATTGAAAAAAACTCAAAGAAGCTATCCCTAGGCCCTAGTGCTGCAACCACATCCTCAAAAGGTAGTTGGACTTCCCAAACCCACCCCAACCACCTTCGAAACGGAGGTAGTTTCATTGCGGCT